GGTCTAGGAAGGTGAGGATCCAAACAGACTAGGTTCCCACAAAGCCAGTACATGGAATAGAATCAAAACCCAGTGCCATTGTCCTTGGCTTCTCAGACAGCACTCATTGTCAGCCATGTTCAGAGAGTCTGGTTTGATCACATGCTCCATCAGTCCCTGTCCAGCTGGCCTTGGTGAGTTCCCATTAGATCAGCTCCACCGTCACAGTGGGTGGGCGCACCACTCATGGTCCTGACTTCCTTGTTCATGTTCTCTGGCCTTCTGCTCCTTGTTTGGACCTTGGGCAGTAGAGAGAGGGTGCCTGAACTGGCCTTATCTAAAGCCACACGGATGAATATCTTGCATATCACAATAGAACCTTCATCTGGCGATGGATGGAGATAGAGACAGAGACCCACATTGGAGCACTGGACTGAGCTACCAAGGTCCAGTTGAAGAGTAGAAGGAGGGAGACCATGAGCAAGGAAGTCAGGACCACGAGAGGTCCTGACTTTGCGTCCACCCAAAGAGACGGTGGGAGTGATCTAATGGGACCTCACCAAGACCAGCTGAACTGGGACTGAACGAGCATGTGATCAGACCAGACTCTCTGAATGTGGCTGACAATGAGGGCTGACTGAGAAGCCAATGATAAAGGCACTGGGTTTTGATTCTACTGCATGTACTGGATTTTTGGGAGCCTAGTTTCTTTGGATGCACACCTTCCTAGACATGAATGGAGGGGGGAGGGCCTTGGACTTACCACAGGGCAGGGCACCCTGACATGTCTTAGGACTGGAGAGGGAGGGGGAGGGTGATGGGGAAAGTGGGAGGGAAATGGGAGGATGGGAGGAGGTGGAAATTTTTTAATAAATATATAAAAAAGAAAAAAAAAGAGACAAAACAGAGAGAAACAAAACAAAACCCCCAAATAACAAAAACAAAACAGTAACAACAGTAAAATAACCCTCTTCCCTCCAACACCTCTTCATTAGTCTTGGTGCCACTGGGAGCCATGTGTGTCACACAGTCTACCATTTTGTTCAGTAAGCTTTACTTGCAAATGTTCATTGCAATGAGTCACTGGCCTAGTTTAAAGCCTCTGGTTTCTGGAACGCCATCATCACAAGATCCTGCGACTGCCCCAAGTCATGGGGAGTCTATGGTTGTTGACTCACAGCAGGTCCTAGAGAAGGTAGACATTAGGATGGACCAACTCCAGGCCCAGTGTGGGCCAGGGTGGTAGTTGAGTTGGTCAGTCCAGGCCACTGGGGCCTTAGGTGACGGGCAGAGCCAGCTCCCCTCTGCCTATCCCATCAGGATCAGCTCTCCCCTGCCTGTGGAGTGGGTGAGGCCATGTCTCCCTAGTGCAAGGGGTCAGCTCTTCCCTG